TATAGAAATGAAAATTTTTAATAGTAAGGGACATTTGAATTATGTCCTCACAAATAATTTAGGGACCCATCTTTATATGTAAGCAAAAAAGATGCACGTATAAAGGTAGAGAAGGTTAAAGTCAATAATGAAGGAAGATAAATCGAATAAAAATTTACCTTTACTCATTATCGTTAAATCATATCCATCTATTGAACGGAAGGTTTACGTGAAAATCTAACAGACCTCGCCGTTCCACTGTTACGATACAATAATATAGATGGAAGCAAAGGACATGCAGAAGCAGGATGGATGCAAGTATCACACTATGATTTTGGGGCATACTCTACCTCAAATTGCAAATTGCAATAAACTGCCATGAACTTGCATTGAAGAATTCACAAGTAACGCCCGAGGTGATCCAACGATAAAGATGGTGATACATTACGCTAAGACGCGATTGGGTCGCCGCATAATTAATGATATCACTTCACTTATGATGTTTCCATTTCGTGCGCTTTTTCTTTTTACGAATATCTGGTTTACTACAGGTTATAAGACAATTCCATGGTGAAAAAAATGTTCGCCACAAAAGAAAATGTTAAAATTAATTGATCTTATCAGATGCATGAAATTACGCATCCAGGATAATGCAATGTGTAAGAACTTTTCTGTTACATCATGAATTTTGATTTTTTTTTTCCATACTTGGTTCAATAGAAATTAATTGAGTTTCAAGAAATAAGCGCCAAGAATTAACGTGACTAATTTTAGAATTCGTTACTATACTGCAATCGATTGTGTTGCGTTAAAGAAATTGTGGTGCCGTACAGTATAGATCGCCCCATGCATCATACAAAATAGCAAAAATTGAATTTGGGCATTGAAATGCTATTAGACGTTACCAAAATTGAATTTGGGCATTGAAATGCTATTGACGTTGCCCAAATTTGTGAGGTCGTGATTATTTGACAAACACGACACGTAACTCGTAATACGTACTGTAAAAATTTTATCAATCTCCTATCTTATTGAATTTGGGCATTGAAATACACTATTGACATTGCCCAAATTTGTGAGGTCATTATCATTGACAAACACCACACGTAACTCGTAATACGTATGTAAAATTTTTATCAATCTCCTAATCTTATTGAATTTGGGCATTGAAATACACTATTGATGTTGCCCAAATTTGTGAGGTCATTATCATTGACAAACATGACACGTAACTCGTAATACGTCCTGTAAAAATTCCATCAATTCCCTAATCTTATTGAATTCCTTAATTAATATCGAAAAATTGTACTGTCAGTATAGAACATTTCATTCACTGCGCAACGTACGTGCGTGCGACTTTTTTTGAAACGGATGAAAGACTTAAAATCTTTATAAATTGATATAAATCTCAAGGCTGTTTTTCCTCGAAGAAAATAATAATTTTTTAAAAAAAATAACGGCGTCATCATGGATGCAGATTCCATATTTGAATTCGTTTCTGAAAACAACCTCACTCCTAAAAATGAATCCACCATTGTTAAAGTAAAGGATGTTGAAGTAAAGGAGGAGGTGAAAGATTTGTTGGAACTAAGTATTAATAACCTGTAACCTTTTTTTTTGATGTAATTATTTTTAAATTGAATTACGAAACAATAAAAAGTAACTTAAAGAAAACAAACGAAGAAAAAAACAAACGAATCGTCCTAATTCTTTGTTTAAAAATATATAATTAAGTATGTATACTGTAAATAGTACTGTAGTAACCTTCGAGTGACTCAATTGGAAAAAATACAGTATAACATTTAAAAAGGATATTGACAAATTTGTAATTTATATACAGTATAGGACAAAAAAAATAATTGTAAATTTTATATTAAAAATTCTTATTGGTATTTAATAAAAAGAATATTTTATGTTAAAAATTGATGTATAATTATTCAAGTTTGTCATCTAAATTATTTTTAAAAAAATCCGTTATATCAAAAAGCAAAAATCCTATAAAATTTCATTAAAATTACTTTTTGCTTTATAGCTTTCGAACATACAGTAAATAAATATTAAAATATCGATGATTTTTTTACAACGAAAAAAATTGCAATTATACTGCATGTATTAATACAAAGAATAATTTCTTTTTATTCCATACTACATATGAAAAAATAAAAATTAAATTAAATAGACTATAACATACATGCAAAACTTTTTTATTTGTAATTTTAAAGTTCTTATATATACAGTATACTGTATATACTGTAAATGGCACAAATATTAAATGCATAAATAAATGCTTACCATATGTTTAAATATAAGTTTGTTATAATTATATTAATGATTTTTAAAAAATTACATGTTTTACTTGAAATAACACTCATGGGTGTCATAATATAACACGTATTTACTGTAGATATACTGTATATATAAATTTCAATGATTCGATTTTTAAAATTTTATTGGAATTTTTATAATACTGTAATAGCTTATAAAAATTCAAATAAATAAAAGACTCAATTTATAATTGATAAAACCAAAACATTAATAAAATAAAAATCAAATAATATCAAATAAAAATTATAATTCATCACTAATTTCATTATCACACATTTTTTCATTATTCATTTCTTCACTAATTTTATCATTAATTTTATTTTCTAGCATATTATCAAGATCCAATTCATTTGATAATAATATACCATTCTCTTTTGATTCATCTATAATTAAATCATTTATATAATTTCCAATAATTAATTGAGGTCAAGTTAACATCTTATTTATTTTGCTTTCATCAGAATTTAAATAAGTCTTGTTGTTTTGAAAAATTTTATCAAAAAATCTTAATTAATTTCTTTCCATACTTCCAATACCTATCTACAATTAATTCATATAATATTTTTTTATAATTTCCTTTTATTGTAAATTCTTTTTTCCATTGCTCATTAATTTGTCTTATTTTTGTCTTATTCCATTTATAAATAGTTTATTTATAAGACATCAGATAGTAGTAATGCACTAGTTGTTTTTTCAAAAATTTTTATAATCTTCAAATCTTTAATATTCAATTCTTTAATTATATTTTTATATATTTAATTTCCATAACAGTAAATAAATTGTTTTTGAATTCATTTGGTCTTGTTGAATAATTTGTAAAAAATATTAAATTTTTATGCATATTTTTATGATTTGCAAAGTTACAACTATATCTTTTGTAAAGTTTTCTTGGAATTTTTTTAATTTAAATATTATTATAAATGAAAGTTTATATTCAGAAATTATATAACTTAAAAAACAATAGTAAAATATAAACCTATGGGTCCATATCATAGTGGTTAGTGCTCCACAAGTCAGATTATAAGATATTAGTTAAATCCTATATAAGGTAATTAAATAAAATTAACATAATATCTGGTACCATAACCAGTTTAGTACTGTTTCTTATAAGAAACCATTTCATACACTAATCCAGCAGGTATTGAGATTGTGACCTTTCTGTTAAGATGTAGTAGTATAATAATTGTCTAGATGATATTATAATAATAATCTAACAAAAGAAATTCATAAAATTACCCACATATTTGGATATGCAGATTGGGCTATACTTTATTTTAATCAATTTCAACTACTATTTTCTCTTTTCTGTTGGCTGTTAAATAAGAAAGCTTTAAAAAAAAACACTAAGCTAACAATAATATCTTGTATAATATGACTATCCCAATGAATGGCTGGGATATTTTCAATACTTTAATAATTTACAGTATATTGTCAACCTATTTAATAAACCTTAAAATTGAATAGATTAATAAATAACTATAGTAGGAAGCTACTTAAGTTAAAGAAAAATAATCTTTTTATGATATATTAGAGTTAATAAGATAAAGAAATTTAATAAAATTTATCCAATATAAGGCAAAGAGATATGATAATTTGATATAGGGTTTGATCAGACTTTATTGAGATATTAGAAAAAGTTAAAAAAATTTCTTGACTAGCTAGAAAGAACAATTGTCTTATTTATATATCTTTAAATTATAAGAAAAATAATATAAACAATAGTATAGATATACCAGTTTTGTCATGTTTTCTGGATTTGTTAAATTATTTATATCAATTATATCTAACAGAAATGTTATATTCACATGATTTGCTATAACTATATAATCTATCCTATATGTTATATATTGTTAATCTATCCAATAAACCTTATAATTAAATAGATTAATAGATAACTATAGCAAGAAACCACTTAATTTAAAAAAAATAACCTCAGTTGTAGTATATTAAAGTTAATAAGATGAAAAAATTTGGCAAGGTTTATCCACTATAAGGCAAGAGACATGGTGATTTGAATTTGGAGTTTAATTGGTTTTTATTGAAACATTGAAAAAAGTTAGAAAAATTTCTTAGCCAGCTGGAAAAACAGCTATCATATTTATACATCTTTGAATTATAGAAAAAAATAATATAAACAATAATATAGATATGCCAGTTTTGCTATATTTGTTGAATTTACTTGATTACTTATATTAGTTATATCTAATAGAAATGTCATATCCATATAATTTGTTATAATTACATGATCTATTCTATATGCTATATACAGTATAACCAATATACTGATTATAAATATATATTGTTAGCAGAGAAAAATAAGTAGAATGATTCAGATCATCTATAATCACATGACTTGATGCAATACAGCAGATCAGAAATTTGAAAGTCTAATAAGCCAAAAGCCTATTTTGCATAACATAATAATAGCCTAATAGATATGTCACAACTAATATAAATATAGTTAAAATTAGCTAGAGAAAAAAGAGAGTATGAATAAACAAGAGAATACCATATAATAAATATAATAACATTGCTTATTAAATATTATTTGTACTTGAAATATAATAATTAATATATTTATCTTGAAAGAGTTATTGGCTGCTAAAGAATCCTTAAGGCATATAAGAAATTGTAAAGAGGATTAACTCAGCAATATAGAAATAAGAAGTCTATTAATACATATCTTTGATTAAGCAAGAGATTTCTAATTCCTAACACTATTGTTATACAAGTTTTAACTTCAGATTAATAACAGACTTATCATATACTGATAATAATACTAACTATAAAAATAGTAACAATAATAATGACCAACCCGGTCATAGTCCAGTGGGCTAAGGCGTCAGGGCAGGTCCTTAAGGTCCACGGTTCAATTCCTGCTGGG